CCCATGTGAGGGGGATGTGAAACTTAATGTGAACCAAATATGTACATCTAGCATGGTTCTAAAAACTATTCTTTTCTTGGTGTTTATAACTTCGTAAGTTTCTTACTTTTAACATCCTTTAACTTCCAACCGGCAGAAATAAAAATACAGCTATATTCATAGATTCAGTCAAAGCCAAACATTAACATTAATTTTAACCATACATTTAGGACAACAACTCCTTATAATCCAAACATTTCATGAACGGATGAACCCACCATTATTCCTCTTTAAAAACAATTTATAATTTAAGTAATGCTATTTAACCTCACTGGGATTGCAATCTAGGTGACGCTAATGAGACATTAAATGATAAGTGAAATTAAATCACTTATAATTCAACATTTCATTTAGCCTATTATCTACCACTATCTAAATTGGGGTTGCAACCCCAATGGAGATAACGTAACATTACTATTATAATTTGCCAATTGGTGGCTAATAGAAACGAAAAACGTAAGCAGGAGATCATAATGATCCAAAGTACACACTCAAATGCCCAAGAAGATTAATCGAGAACTCAAATAGGAGAAAAAACTACATTACTTATTGCAAATTAATTAAACCAATAGTGTCTTGGAGCAGAAATGCCCCGAGTTGTTCAATTGGAAAAGGGAAGGCTACAAAAGAAAATAATACATCAGGGTTGAACCATATAGCAGACTTCAAAGATTGGGAAGGCATTTTTCAAACAGCACGAAGATTTCAAAGTTCAACTCTTCTTGAGAGCCTGCACAACAATACAACATCCTGAAAATTTTTATGCAGTTGTTTTCCCTGTTTTCTCTATTCCTTTTGATCAAGGCACAACACTTTGTAACACGGGTATAGTTTACCTGAAACAGTAATTGAACTCGTACAGTCATAAATCATCACAGCCAAATATAGTTCAATACACACAATCAGTTATTAAAGAAGAACCACCCCAAAAGTACATGAATAAATCTTAAAATCCTGCTCAACTAATGAAGTTCATTTAAAGCCATTTATGTGATAAAAAGTGGTGTCTTCATCTACAGAAAATGTGTGAAAATGTGTTCCAGATTTGTTGTTTATGTTGGAATTAATTGAATTTAATTGGGTTAAATTGGGTGAATTGGAAAAGTCTCCAATATAGGCCTATAAGTTGATAAGCCCATTTTAAGTGTCTTATGTATGGTTAGGAATCACATATCGAAAGTTTACAAGAAAAAAAACTTGTTTATATAATGGGATGTGTGATCAAGCGATGATTTAATAAGTGACCTACAACTTAGCTAACTTTGACTAGCCAAATGCTAGCGAACTAGCCACCACTCGCACCGCGTTGCGGCGCCCCCCGGCACCAGGCTAATACGAATCAGATCAAGTGGTGCACCAACTCATGAAATGTCATACACACATTCAATGTGACACTTCAATATCTATAAATAGAGACCTCCAGATTCATTTTTCAACACACCAAATCAATTAAAATATCATTGATTTCTAAATTCATTTTCTCTCGAAATTCTGTTTACAAATATTTTTTCAAATATATTCGTGGTTATTCCGTTTGAGTACGATCATTCTTTGATTCGATCGACAAGGTTGGTATTGTACAATATCGACTTTGGAAGGAGCGTTGTATCTTTGAAGACAGACGTTCATAATCGCGTTTGCACTTTATTGGGGGGGGTAAAGGAGATTTGTTTTGACATACATCGCTTCATCTACTGTTATATTATCTGTTCATTTTATTTATTCTTTCGATTGAGATAGTCGAGTTTCCGACAACAGTTTACTCATACCAAGCAATTATCTTGTTTCTTTCATATTGATAACTGATAAGATTAAAAGATCATCATAAACTCTTTAGAACTAAGCCTATTTTAAGAATTCCCAAGGAATAGGTGCGTCTAAAGCATAATTGATGCCGTGTTCAATTCCAAAACTCAATTATAAACATCAAAGCAAAGGGTTTATTTCTCTCTCACTCATGCAAGGATTTTACCTTAGTTGTCGATCTTTTCCCAGGTCTTAATGGGAATGGTCGTTTGATAATTTGTCATTGCAGAAAAGAAAGCGGAGCTGCTATGGACGTCCTGAGAAATTTAGATATAGAGAGTGTGCAGTGCAGTGAAGGAAGTTTTCATCTTTCTTGTTTAGTATGGCCAAAGATTCCCATGCCTTTCTTGGTTGGACCAACCCAACCGGCCATCTAAGCCAAATTGACATGGAGGGGACAGGTAGGAGCATTTCTACTTTTCATTTTTAAGCACAAAAAAGTCCTTATCTTGAGTGTGATTAACACATTTTCAACTTTAATCTATAAAAAGTTATTTCTTTCTAAACATAGTTATAAGTGAACTTTTTGAACTTTAGCCAACATGTGCTAGCCTTTGGACTTTGGAGAGATGTCTGATATCTCAATCCAATGAAACTTTTGGGTATCATTACAATCAGTGAATTTCCCGTACGATTGAGATACGTCCCCAAATTGTGGATTCCAATTTCAAATTCTACAGCTATAAAAATAATAAATACAATTTCTATGAAACAAAATTGCAAAAGAGGGCAGATGAAACTTACAATTAAGCAGTAGGATTTAACTATTTGGGGGAACCAGAAGTCGTCTTCGCATTTTTTACGGAACATGAAGATTTGAAAGCTTCAATATGCGATTGGCATTTGACATAATCCCCTTTGTTTTCCTCCAAACATTTCTTCAGAGCCTCCACATCACACGGTGAGATTATCTTCTTTGTACTACAGTCGTCATCCACCATCCCTTTCATTTTCTTCAAAATCCAATCTCGGAACAAAGAGAGTAAAGAACAGGACTATCTGGAACGACAATTTGATGCTCATTCAACAAGCCAGTCTACCAATTTAAGTCAAACTAGGGTTTATAATTACATACATAAATATATTATGAAAAATATTATAACGGAAAATTACCAGAATCTTGTGAATTTGTCGCGTATAGGTGCGAATTGAAAGAATCGTAAGGAGAAGAAAGGAGAAACGAAAAATGGAGGAAATTTGAAAAGAAAAAATAAAAATACAGTGCTTGTTTGGTATGGATTTTTTGGGAGAAGAATTGATTTTTGAACAGAAATATGATGAAAAATGTGTGATTGAAAAAGAAAAAAAAATTATTAATGTGATGAAAAATATTATTTTATTGAAAAATGTGTGGTTGAAAATAAGAATCGATTTTCAAATAAAAAACAAACACCCCCACAATGTGATGCTTAAAGCCTTGAAAAAAGTCCAGCCTGATATATCGGGCTATTCAAAGTTTTGTCCCTGTTTGATGGCTATTATTCGAAGTTTTGATCGCTTCGAAAATAATTCTTTTTCAAATCAAATCAAAATTATTTTTGCTGGTAAGTTAAGAGTCTATTTGATGGCTATTATTCTTAAAAAAATAATATTTTGAACAGTAATTTTTAGAAAAGTATGTAGTTAAAAAATAGAAAAATATTTTGAATTTACGTACAAAATATTTTGTTGTGTAAATGTGAAATTGAAAATGAATATGTAGAAAGAATAATTCTCAAATAGTGGTTGTTAAACGGGGCTAAAGTTACAAAATTATCAACTTTTATTCTCCGTTTATGATCGGTTTGATGTACATTTTTTAATATAAATTTTATAAAAGGTAATATTTTTGGAGAACGTGAAGTTAAAATGTAAATAAAAAAAATTATGAGATTACGTACAAAATATTTTATTAAAAGAATGTTTGATTAAAAATACGAGGAAAGACGAGTTTTAAAGAATTTGTACTAGACATTTGCTCAATAAAAATCAATTAAGGGAATTTATCCCTTTCATTTGTATTATTTTATTAGATTTAAAATAATATTTGACGAAAACTGATGAAATATATAAGATTAAAATATCGATAATGAAAAAAAGGCGATTGAAATTAGTTTTGAGTAAAATTTTTGTAAGAAGTAGTGGCCAAACATGAGCTTTATATATTCGTGGTTAGAAACAAGTCGGGTCTTGGTCTCTGATGATGATTATTAACTAAGTGATCTATGAAGTTGAATTATAAAATTGGTAATTCTTTTGAAAAAGATAAGAAAAAGGAAGTTGGTTAACCAACTTTGAATTATAATCGTACTACCAATTTTCAACAATTGAAACGATTTAAATTACTATTATATCTTCACTTTTCGAGTGACATCAATACAAGAGCACATCATCAGAATTAAGCACTATTTGATAATTATTATTTCTACATGTTTATTTTTAACCACACATTCACATAATAAAAATTTTCGCACTTAAATCTACAATTTCTTCCTACTTTTTCGCCACGTCTTCTCCAAAAAAATCATTTTTCAAAACTTTATTATACCTAAATAATGGTCGCCAAACACGGTCTAAATGAGATTTGGATATTTTACAAGGTGAATTAAAATATAAATTTTAATTTAAACTAAAAGTCAACAATTAATTTTAACCACACATATTTCATGAGATCAAAAACTTTTATCCAAATTTATTTTTTTTAAAAATGATTTTAATCCCCACCTCACCGGGCCATGGCGATCAAACTCCTTCAAATTAAATATAGAGGCTAACTTGCCATCCAGACAATACGTTGAGGATCAAATGTGCAATATTCCCGTTATACTGTGACGGGGTCACAAGCTTATCTCGTACGCCTGGAGGGCTATAGATCGGTGAACTGACGAAAATACCCTCGTTTTTAAATTAGGAGAATCTGGAGCGGAGCCAGAGAAGCTCCAAACCAGAGTTTGAAAATTTAACGGCTATGTTCAACATTCAACTATGCCCCTTTCATAATCATACACCAACACTCTGCTGTATGAATTACAATTACTAAAAAATTTCTGGGATCGAATTCTTGTTGTTTCGTAGAGGCCGATTATTTCAAGTTCTTTTTTGTTTTTCTATTGCTTCGAGGTTTGGCGGTGCAAATTAAACTGTTAGTCCTTCGTTATTTTCCCATGGCTTCAGTAATGGCAGATCGAGATCGCGTAAAAGTTAGCAAGAGCTCAATTCCATCAAAAAAAGTCAGAATAATTGGGAAAATCAGGGGTTTCACAGACCAGGAATCTCAATCTCTGACGCAAGATTCGAAAAAATGGATCACCGTTGAGAAATCGCAAGAAAACAATTCTAGTAAAGTTATGGTTTCTTTTGAATCTAAATCAACCAGGTAACTTCCATTTTATTTTTTTCCAATCAGTATCCAGTAGGTTTGATTCTACTTCTACCGCTCGTTTTATTTTTCATTGACATGTAATATCAAGATTTTCTCTGGAAATATTAATTTACCTCATTTTTTTCAACCTAGAAATTGAATTAATGTTGGTGATTTTTGCATAATTTTCCTTCGTGCATATCAATTTTGTGCTCAAGCAAAGAATCCTTGAATCGCTGTTTTGACTTTCTGGTATTGAATTCTTTTGGTAATTTCTATTTAAGGGTTTTCTTTTATTATAACTTATAGAGAAGAATTAAAGATTTGGTGTTTGACGTGATCAGTTATGAAAATTCTGAACCCTTCATGATTAGCACATTATTTTTTATCCATATAATTCATGGATTATATTCTAGCTTGTGTTCTTATGCAATTTATAGCTCGTGTTCTTATGCGATTTAATTGGGCATCTAGAATGTTTAGGAAAAGAAACTTTGATCTTAAGACGTTTCAGTTTCATAGTTCTGGATGGACCTAATTTTATTTTTTCTTGTCATGTATTAGTCGCAAGGATCCCTACGAACTGGATTATTGCTATGAGCAAGATGAAGACATTGGCCTGATATATTCGAGAGAAATACAACCCATGGTTCTAGAGGTCTTGGATGGTCGAAATGCATCTGTCATTGCTCTTGGGGCAAGAGGAAGTGGGAAAACTTGCACTATCCAGGTGGTTTTTTAAACCTCTTTTTCATTTTCTTCTTTTGTAACTGGAGAAAACATTGTATTCTTATTTTTATGTTTGGATCCATTGAAGGGCTCTCGAGAAAAACCAGGTCTAGCAGTAATGGCAATGTCTGAAATTCTTTCAGAAGCAATGAATTCTGGGAAGTCAGTCTGTGTCTCTCTCTATGAGGTGATACAAGAACATGCTTATGATCTTTTGGATCCTAAACATCCCCAAGTTAAAATACTGGAAGGTGCTCAGGGCAAAACCCATCTTAAAGGACTTTCTCAGGCAAGCAAATATGTTTTCAGAAAAATAAATAAATAAATAGAGTTTTCTACAGTAGAAGACTTAGCATGTAGTTTTTCTTTTATATCTACTTATGGTACTTTCTTAATGTTGTTCTCTTCTAGGTCGATGTGAAATCTATTCAAGAATTCCACAATATATACTTTAGTCGGGTTAGTTCTCAAAAGTCCTCACAAAAGATACCAACAGAGAAAATGCGGTGCCACAAGGGCTTGATGATACATGTATCACCTGAAGATGACAATCTGAAAACCAAGTTAACAAGCAAGATGAATTTTGTTGATTTAGCAGGTTTTATACCCGTGAATCTTTTAACAGGATTTAAACTTGTATCGTTACATTCATGCATCTAAAGACTTGATGTTATAATTAAATTTTTTCGTGTATCAGGCTATGAAGATCCAAGAAGAAATATTAAAGATGGAACCATATTTACTGAGAGTAATAGGACTAATAAGTCACTTTATACCTTATTGAACGTTGTCCATGCCCTTAATGTCAACGAGAAACGTGTGCCATATCGAGAAAGCGAACTAACTCGAATATTACAAGACTCCCTGAGTGGCACAAGTCATGTATTGATCCTTACATGCTTGGTACGGATTTTATGCTTTATGAGTTTCATGTTTGTATTTGTTCCTACGTTCCTAGATTCTGAACTATTTTTAACCTCGATGGATCTTTTTAATTCTTTTGATCCCTATTCAATGCAGAACCCTTCCTTTTGCCAAGACTCTGTTCGCTCAATAAGTTTAGTTTCTATGTCACGCCGAAACACCAAGCAAGTGTTGATAAACTCCACAAACAAAACTCGAAGTTCAACTAAAGTGAAGATGCCTTCTTCAATAAAAAGTGGGAAGATACCATCTACTTCCTTGACCATGAAAAAACAGATTGCCTCGAGTATTCTCTCATCAAAAAAGGAGAACAGTAGCATCTTGAGAGGAAGGTAAAACTACTTTCATCTCATACTGGAATCTAAGTTAAGGCCTGTTCAAGATTGCATTTTACTAGATTCTCTCTCTTTTTACTCTGCTGAAGGAAACTCTTTGACGAAGAAAAATCAAACAATTCTAAGCAGGTATTGTCTTCCACTGAATAATCAGATTCTTATATCACTTATTTCATTTCTATTGTCTTTCCTGCATGTAGATATCACCGATAATATTTTTGGTCATTTCAAGCGCTAAGCACGGAAAACTGTACCATGTTATAAACTTGTGGACAGTTTGAAGTTTGTCTATTTTATAAAGTACTCCATTTCGCTTCCACCTTTGTCAAGAGAAAGCTAATGCATCATGTACCAAGGGGTAGCAATGTTTATTAGTTCTAGCCAAACGCCAACCTAGGCACATGGGTGGTGTTTGGTTGAAATAAAAAAGACAGTTACTAAGCACGAATTAGCTATAGCTCATCTATATTTTAAATATAATGCAGTTGAAATCCCCACCTGAAGATACTTCAGCCAGGAAATCTAATCTTCCCCAAGTTGTTGCTTCAGATGTTACACCCTTTTCCTTGGAACAGGTATTTTGATTTCCAGAAAAATTCTCGTAAGGCATTTACATAAACAGATAACCATGTATTTTGAATGATACTGTCAATATCTTTGAGAAATTTGTTTGAAGCTGCAAACACAGGATAAATCTATTTCAGATGTTAATTTTGCTGTGGAGCCAATAGAAAACGTAAGATTTATTGTTTCTGAAAAGTACGACAGCTTTAAAGGACTTGTAGCTCAATCAATGTCTTAATTGCAGGACACTCCAATGCCAATTTCCCCAAATGATATGGCTATTGTTCTTGCTGAAAAGGTAATAACATAGTTTACTTGTAAACTTTTGATTGTACTACTAACTGTATTGCCTTAAAAAGCCAATGTGGTAAGGTTTGTTTAAATGTTATTTGGAAATTTTACTATAACACACTAAGGCATGTTTCATAAGGTGGACTAGACACCGTTGGACAATATTAAGCCCGTGTTTGGCACCACTAAAAAATCGGATTAAAATCTAAGTCAAAATCAACTATTAATTTTCATTACACATTTCATAGGACCCACAGCTTTTCAGTCACACATTTCATCAACTTTCATCAAAATATGCTAAAAATCTGATTTTAATCGGGGGCTAAGAAAGAAAAAGAAGCTAAAATCCTGTTTATTATACTTTCAAAGTGGTGCAACTGCATACCAAACATGCTTCAAACCAAGAATTCATTTCACTTCCATTCCATTCCAGTAAATGAAGAAATGAAGAACTACTGCATAATCTGTACGCTTTTGTTTTTTTTTTCAGGATGTTTCACCACATGGCAGGAGTGATAATCTAGATGCTGCTCCAGGTATTACTACTGATGCAAAACCTATATATCGAATACAACTTTGATTTTCTATCACTTTCCTTACACATTATGCAATGCTTCAGGTCGCTTGGGAGAGGTAAATGTACCTTTGAAGAAGAATGAAGATGGAGCCCCCTCACTAACCGAAAGATTAAGAGAAATATCAAACAATCTAAAGTCATTATCTTCATCAACTCCATCCAGGGTTAAGTTTTTAGAAAATGTAGTTACACCTTATAGCAGTCATATAGACCCAAAAACCCCAGTCATGCAACGTGCTGTTGAGATACACCATAGTCCTCGGGGTGCTTTCTGCAATCACAGCTCGGGAGTGAAGGTTTGTGATACTATGTACCTTATTACCATGCAACTCATTGTTGGTCTTGTGCTAATTAAGTAATCTTATCTGTGGCAGCATTCTCTTGTGCAAGAGTACCTTAAATTTTTGAATTCTGCTAACAAGTAAGTAAATCTACCAAACCTTTTCCCAGGTTATTAGTTACACCTTTTGGTTACTGCATTCATACACTCACAACCTTGTAAAATTTAAAAATACTAAACCTTGATAATTGATTTTCCAACACTCATATGGTAGCAATATTGCCCTTTTTTGGACTCAATTTTAACGAGGTTTTGGGAAAAATGTATTTTGGAGTATTATTTTATTGAAGAGTGATATGGTTAATCAGACGGTGTTATAAGTAAAATCCTAGTGTATTTTGATCAATTTCAGCCGTTGTTCCTGTTCGGAACAATATCATCGTCGGTTAGGCAATGTTGAACGTGGAAAACATATACGTTGATAATTAGTCATGACATGAATTCGAGATACATACTAAGGTTCTTGCAACTAAAGTTTGAAGTAAATCTTTATTCTAGTTTTGGGATGTAGGTTAAGTTGCAACTGCTATTTCCTTATGCAATGTTTTACAATGCATCTACTTAATTACCTTATTGTCATGAATTAACACACGTGTCCTGTCGCTCATAAACATATTTTGCTGTGTTTTTGTTTTCTTCTAATTTACAGGGAAGAGCTGAAAGGCCTGAAGGTAAGCCAATCTTTGATTTTTAAACATTATCTTGGCATTTCTTTAGATTAGATGAAGTATCATATGATGTGTTATACAGGGCATTGGAGAGAAAAGAGCTACCTACATTCTTGAATGTCGTGAAGAAACTCCTGAACCATTCAAGCAAGTAAGAGTTATTTTCTCACTACAGCTATTTTGCCTATAACTAGTGAGGAAATCACGATAATGTGCATTTTTTTCTTGAAAGGATTAAATCCGAAATAAAGTTTTAGCTTGGAATATTAGGAGCAAGACTAGAGAATGTAAGGGGTTTAAATTTGCTTTTGTAATTTCCCTTGACAAATAAACCAGCAGTCATTTCGTAACTTCTTTGAAATGAGTAATCTTTATTGTGCAATTCCGAATGCCAAGGAAGTCTCTTTAGGATTTTTGTCTTGTATTTAACAAGAAGAATGTTTTACTTCACAGCTCGATGATTTGCAAGATATTGGCCTCTCAGCAAAACAGGTACACTTGTTTTGTTGATCTAGTTTACCTGTTTTACTATTTGTTCATCTATCACCTGGTCTGGTCTTCAAATTATTTCAATTTTATCTATTTTCATTTTCTTGTGTTTTGTTACCCAGATTAAAGGAATGATGAAACAGGTCGCAGGAGAGCTTTTCAATTAGTGTACTTCTGTTTGGCAACATGAAGTTGCCATTGATACATTGGGCTGAACTGATGATTTCGCCTTTTCTTCTTCTGATGTTGTTTTATGTGTACTTTCTTCTCAGCTCTTATAATATTGTGTGGTTGGTCTACGTCTACTAGACGAAAGTTTATGTAATTTCATGGAGCAAACTTTCAAGTAAATTTGTTATTTTTATTGTTATTACTTTCGAGTTCATCACCATTACTTCTATTATCACTTTCGAACGATGTTATGATTTGTTAGTCCACTCTATCTAAAAGCTTTATTTATTTATTTTTTCTTTTATTTCATAAATGATAATTTTATCTTTTTTCACTTAATCATATTTAATAATTAATAACTAATAAACATATTGAATCATTAATAAATGTTCGTAATAGCAAAGCTTATTATGAATATGTTCCATAACAGTTGAAGTGACAATGATAACATTCTTTCTTGCGTTTCTCGTGGGCTCGTTTTATGCCACGTGAAGTCACGAAGTAACACGTGTTAGGTATTTTTTAGTGTCATTTTGCTATGTTTGAGTTACATTAGAGTTTTTTTTTTCCTGAATAAATTTGTAACATGTTTGTAAGTCACGTTTAAAATAAATGATATTTATAATTGACCATTATCAAGATTAAGGTCCATTTGGTTTGGATAAAAATTGAATTTTTAGTATATTTCGATAGAAGTCGGTGAAATAAAAAGTCGTAAAAATTGTATGCCTTATGAAATGTGTGATTGAAAATGTGTTTGAAGGGGAAAAAAATGAATTTTAAGAAATGAAGGTCAAATAGAAACTAAATTTAAATAATTTTTTTCTAATGTATATTCTAAACGAGTATTTCTCAACACTTCATTCAATTCAATTAACATATCAAAACAAAATCCTTAGTAACCTGAATCATCCACGTCAATTTTGTCATATTCAAATCTCACCATTCTTAAAAATTATACAAGACTTTCTTTTAAGAGGATGTTGGAAAATTGTTTATAAACAGTCTTAAATATAAAAAATAAAATAAAAAATCTACAAGTAATTTATAAATTATAGCCAAACATAGTTTTACCGGGTAAATATCGTAATCAGCCTAGTCGTTCTTCTTAGTTCTTACAGTTTATGCATCTACGGGTACTTTTAAAAATTTGTTTGGTCAAACCCCCTAATTTCTATTTTGAATTTTCAACAATTGTATATTTCCACAATGGTCATTTGATTGGTAAAAGACAAAGATGTCCTTAAATAAACAATACGATTACAAAATATTGTTTTATTTAAAAGACAATTCTACTCTTTTAGTTAACAAGTAAAAATCAATCACTCCCCACTTAAAATTTCAAAACCAACTAACTTTTGTTATTTGTTTATTCCAACACAGATAAAAACTCTCTCATTTTTCATTTTCTTCAACCTCAAAATTTCAGAAATTGATTAAACGCTGAACAAGAAGTTTTTTTACAACTATCACTTCTAATTGGTAAATATATTTGTGTATGTTTAATTTCGTTTTTATTAAATTAGTATACATTTTTAATCGATAAATTTTATTTCGACATAGATTAACATGTAAATAAACTTTTTTAACAGATCTATAATTTTTAAGCATAAATAAGAAAAACAAATTCATCTACATGTATATTCATAGCAATGATTCCTGCCAGTCTTAACAGCATAAGCAATCGATTGTTAATAGTCAAAACAATAATTGTTATCAACCAGCAGTAATAGCTGGGCCGTTAACCTTTTTTTTTAATTATGTTATCCAATGGTTGTGTCGATTTTTCGACTATTTTTTCTTATAATTAAAAACTATATTTCGTCATGTAAATATGGTTGTAATCCCAATTTATTAATTTGGCGATTTCAAATTGGATGAAAAAGATCGATCGGTATGGAAATAAACGAGTGATATACTTGGTGGTATTCTAATTTCTAGAATATCGAGTACATCATATGCAAAAATGTACCATAATTTACAAAAGAAGTTGAAAATCGATGCCCCTCTCATTACGATATGGACCTGAGATTTCAATTAAATCAGCATTCATCCATTCGATTCTACCTATGAATGTTGCCTTTGACGTTGAATTGAATTATCTATTTGAATTGAACAAAATGCATACGACTCTTCTTTGCATGATTTTAGTGAGAAAGAATGTCGCCGAAGGTGAACACGAAAATTCGGATGGAAGGGATTACAATGCCAATGATTTTTGAGATACAGTGCAGATAGATCGTGAGGATGGTGTAGTCATTCCCGAGACAGTTGTTCTTTATCGTGATCTCGCTGTTACACACAAAATTTCGTCGGTAGTTCACGACAACGAGAATGAAAATGAATTTACAAATGAGAATTTGATTGCTTTATCTCATCAGAGACATGAGTGAGACGAGAGCACATGAGCCAGATCGAGTTGAACATTATCTGATTCTGCGCCTGTGGTTTTGACGATGAGGATTTATATGTTGAGCATCTGTTTGAAATAAAGAAAGATTTGCAGGAAGCTGCGCACCGAATTGCATTGAAATACAATTTTGAGTTCAAAGTGAAGAAATCAAACAATTCATTGTTGACAATTCTCTACGTCGACGACAGTTGCCGTTAGTGTTTACGAGCGACAAAGATAGACACTAATGAGTTATTTGTAGTTCGCAAGTATAAATTAAAACATACTTACAAAATGGGAATTCGAAATGATCACAAGCAAGCTCGAACATGATTTATTGGTCGACAGATAATGCATAAGTATTAAGATCCATGATGATCTACAGACATTTGGATAAACGACGTCCATAAAGAGTACGAAGTGGTCATAAGCTACCAAAAGACTTGGAAAGCCAAAGAATACGCGTTGGAGGATTTAATGAGATCGGCCAAGGAAATATATACTAAATTGGTTGGATATTGCCACAACATGGGACAACTAATCCTGACTCGACATTTTTTTATTGAGACGGAGGGAGAGAATTGTTTTAATTTTTTCTTCAAGTCTCTTGGACAATGCATTCAGAGATTTTGAAATGCGATACCATTCCTAATTTTAGTTGATGGTACAACTCTGAAAGCTATATTTGAAGGCAAGTTATTGCTACATGTTAGATGCTAACATTCAAATTTACATTCTTGTATTCGGTGGAGGTGATCGTCATTCAATTGGACTGTGCTCCTAAAACAAATAAGAACATTAAAAATTATTAACTTAATTAAAAGATGTTAACTCATACAAAATGCTAATCAATAAATTATATTCAATTTACATACCCACTTTCGATCAAGGATGGAATCGAACATCTGGTCGTGTTGAGTATGCAGAACTGCTAATTTACGCACAAAACCTCAACCTTCCTCATCCGTCGACGACGTCAACTCAATTAAGACTTCAAATTGCATATTGACAGTTCATCTAATTAATGATCATGTGATGAAAATTTGAGACGACATATAATATAAATCGCAAACGTGTTTGCCGATGACATCCATCTGCTCAGGATGCTCGCCATGATGCATTCGAGGGCCGCGTGTCTCCCATATCCTCGTAAATCGTGTACCAAGAGGGGGACAATCTCATATGCTCAGATTTGCAACACATACAATTATTATATATAAATTTAGTATAAAAGATATTTTAATGTTGATTATGTTAAACATTTACCTGTACTGTTAGGGCAATCCATAAGTATAATACTTATGAATAGACCCCTTGGATTTCGAATATGATCTGTTGAAGACATATACATTGTCTTCAAAATATCTCCGACCCCAAGGATCGTTGTTGAAGGTATCGATGTTGTTAACAACTTCTATATGGAAAAGGTCGATCGCAATCTTTTTGTGATGACACCTCACCACGCTCTCAAGTATGTAGATCAGTTGTATCTTCAATATTTCAAACATCTAGTTGTACTTCAAGATTGCATCAATCAACTACGGTAAGATCATCGTCCCCTGTCCCTGAAAATACGTCTTTGAGTACCGTCAGTAGCTGCCTTGTCGCCTGTTATCTTCAGGCCAGTCATGAGGGCAAACTCAAACATGGAGAAAGTAGCAATCTTGCCCCCGAGGTTGAAGTGAAGGGCATCGTCGTCGATTGCTCTAAGTAGTCGACATAGTAATGCATCAATAATCCGCCCAGAGTACTGTACTCCTCTCAACTAATACAAGGACACATGTTGGACTGTCGTATAATACTTGCGTACTGATTATCTAACAACTCCAATACAGTGAAATTATCAAAGCTACTGTTCCAAGCTCATTTTCCCTCCATCTGTCTCAACTCCACATCTAGATGTACTCCATCCTAAAAAATTTAAATATTAAAACTTTCAACAAAAGATAATGGATAAAGTATAATCTCAAAAAATTAAGCGAATCGAATTACAGAAAAAATAAATAAAGAAAAATAAATTAAAGAAAATAATAAAAAATATAAATTAAGAATTAAAAAGAATTTTAAATTTAAAAAATTATTTATAATATGAAGAAAACAATTAAGAAATTTTAAAACTATTTCAAAAAAAAAAAATTATAACAAAAATAAATTAAATTAAACAAAAGGAAATTATGAAAATTAAATAAAGAATATAAAATATTTTTTAATTAAAATTTAAAAAATTAATTTTTATCATACATAGAAAAGAATTAAAAAAATATTATTTATAAAATGAACAAAACAATTAAGAAATTTTTAAACGATTTAAAACAATTATAATAAAAAAATAAATTAAACAAAAGAAAATTATGAAAATTAAATAAAGAATATAAATATTATTTAATTAAAATTAAAAAAATTAAATTTTATTATAAAAAAGAAAAGAATTAAAAATAATTTTAAATTAAAAAGAAAATGAAGAAAAAACAAGTGATGCAAAAAGAAAAGACCGATTGTTTTCTACCCTTCCGACAAGAATAAGCTTACAAATTTCAAAACAAACACATTAATCACTACTACACCAAATAATCTACCTAAATAATGAAGAATAAACGTTATGCATAACAATTTAATCTACAAATTTTTTAAACATAATAAATAAAAAATCAATCTCATAGTTTCCAAAAAAAAAAACTAACCTCGTTAAAAATAATGAGTGACTTGTGTGGTGGTCGGTGTTTGGTTGACTATGAGGATGTCTTCTTCTACTGGATTTCGACTGTTGGCCGTGTGAGTAATTTGGAATTTCTTTTTTCTTCTCCACTCAAATAGGGATGGCAATGGGGCGGGTATGAGACGGGTCAGCCATTCATCGGATATTTTTGTTACCTTACCCTATCCTCATACCTATTTAAAGCGGGACGGGGCGGATCCGGAGCGGGATAGAGGCGAGGCGAGGCGAGGCGGGGCGGGAAATGTTCCCTACTCATTTATTGCCCCATTTATTTTTTTGCTTTTACTTTTTATGTCTTTATTTAGTAAATATTATTACTTTTTTACTAATTTGTTAGAAACAACTTATGTTTTCTTTAAAAATATGATAAATATATTATTTTTATTTGATAAAAAATTTAAATTTAAAATTAACTTTAAAAGGGATGGGTAGCGGGGCGGGGACTATGATTCCCGTATCCACACCGTACCGCTTCGGGAAAATGACTATCGCCCCGTCGCAACCCCGTTTTCTTAATTAATTTTTTTTAATTGCAATGGATAATGATTGATAAGTATATTTTAATGAGAATTGGTAAATTCAATTTGGGGTGGTTGGGAGTGTGGAGTCATAACCAAACTTAGTTGAAGCTACTTGATTTCTATCATTAAACCAAATTGAACAACATCGTAAAGGGATAGGAAACCTAATGAATTTATGTAATTAAAATTGGATTAAAAGTCTTCCCCTAATACATAAAAAAATTATTTTCTAGATAACTTAATTTAATTAGTTAAAAATTCTTATTCTTCAATTAATTATACAATAAAATCGAATATTTTACATTTATTTTATTGTTAATTTTCTTATTATTCAATCTTTCTCTTGAATTTCTTTTCATTTATTTTAATAATATGGTACATCTATTCAATACTCAAAAAGTAGAGCCACGCTTGGCAGATTATGTCAGATATAATTAAATATGACACCTAACAAATATTTTAGATACCACTTTTGATCAATTATATTTCATGATCAGACAAAATATATTTATTAAATAATATTAAAATTTTAAATTAACATTTATTTAAATCCTAAAATATCTTCGTCGTCGTCTTCTTCTTCCTTCTTTCGCCATTTTTAGTCCAACTACCCCTCCCCTTGTATTTTGCAGTCTCCGCGGTCCATTACTCACCTTCCAAACCCCCACATTGCGGATCCCCTCTTTACGCGTCGACGCTTGGGTTGTACAGAAACAAAAGAGAAAAACGCAAAATGACACGACACGTAAAAATACTATTTCTAAATGGTAGGATATCAAACAATTTAATTTTTGTAAATCAAATAAGTAATTCAACTCAATCTCGAATCACTTGTTAATTTTATTGAAATATAAGAATCAAAGCATGAAATTATGTCCCCGTTTGATTTAGCTAATATATAATCTATAATATATTAAATATCACATTAAGTGCATGTTTGATAAAATTTATTTGGGAATAATGAGTTATGGAATAGTATTTTTTGGATATTGTGTGGTTAAAAAGAAAAAAAAAATTTATTAGTTTGTGTGTAGAATATTTTTTTGTGTGAATGTGTGGTGGATAATCTTATTGCTTTGCACAAATTTAAATAAATAGCATGCATCCCTCTCTTAGCTCACTTGAATTTTCATATTAAACATGTAAATAAAGATTATGGTTGAACCAACAAAGAAAAAAGAAAGAACTAAATAAAGATATCTGATAATGACTTACAACAGTGAGGTATGTTTTTTGAAAGCAACGTTTAAATAAATAGATGTGTCATTCCTAATAGTTTTTAAGTTGTTCGATGAGTTAATTAACGTAGTATCATAGACCTCAAAGTACCTTAAAATTCCGTCATCTTCTTTTTAAAAAATTGCTACATGTCAAGCTTTTAAGGATTCGTAACATTTAAATTCAGTAAATATATTCGTATCTAACACATTAAACATTTAATATAGATAATTAATAGTGTTGAATATAAAATAGCATAAATAAACATACCTTATCGCACGACACGTAAATTTGAATCTAAGTAATTTAAGACAAATTTAAGTTCTTGTATACAAGTTGAAGTAAAACATTATCAATTCATCGAATTCCTTCGTCTTAGTTTAAAGGATGACAAACAGGGCCTATATTCCTATGTATATCAATTAAATCGGTGGAGTGCAACAAAAATTCACAACGTACTTATTTTTAGATGTTGGTTGAAGTTCAAAGCTGGCCATACAGTTTTCCAGCATCAGAGGACTTCCAATCATCAGACCAACGGGGTAATGTTAATGGAAGACTATTGGTTCGAGACAAGTGAGACCTCGATATGTATTTGGTTTGTTTCGGGCTTCTTTTTCTTGTACGAACGATTTTATGATACTTCTGTTTACCTGCCTAGGTATGTTAGTGATGATTATATTCCAGGAAACAGCGCATATGTTGGATTGGCCCCTCCGGGGGAGGTTGGATCATGGCAAAGAGAATGCAAGGTTATAATAATTAAGTTCTTTAACTGATCCCCAAGATTCTGACATAATTTTTAAGAAGTTCTATAAAACTCGGTCTCAATGTTAAGAAATCTCTTCTTGAACCATGAATTTCACATCTGAAATGTATACAGTTGATGACATTAAGTTACTTCATTCAGGACTACCAATTTTGGTCAAGAGCAGACGAAGAAGGCTATTTCTCGATAAACAATATACACACGGGCAACTACAATCTTTATGCATGGGTCCCTGGCTTCATTGGAGAT